CCTTAGTTAGCGGCAGAGAGGCAGTGCAACTGACCTATTCTTTTCAATCTTCCCTAATCTCCTTCCAATATCAGAAACAGGTGATTAATAGGAAAACAAATTATAGTGGGGTTATTTATTTTACATTTCATTTTCGTTTTATCCAAAAAAAGCAAAACATGCTTATATCAAAAGGTTAAGGATAACATTACGTTAACAATGGCAAGTTTCAGGTCTGGATACTACAGGCTACACTTTCTATCTGCTTACTGATGTAACAACCACTTATATATTAAGGTCGTTGAGAAAACTTCTTAATAGTCTGTAAATCACAATTAACCCACAAGTGAGTATTTCACAAACATTTTTTGGCCTCCTATTCTTGCAAGGTTATCACACCAGTAACGAACTGTAAAATGTAAATAAATAGGTAAATAGCCACAATTTTACAAGTATGTTAAACAAAAAAACCATTGACCAGACTAAGCATCTGTAAGTATTTCAGTTATTTAAAAAATATTACTCTTTTAAAGAACACCTTTTTTGGATATATTTGACGTGTCAATACTTTTTTAAGAGTCACACAAACAAGTTTTATGTTTTTATAAAGCTTACAAAGAGCTTCAGGATTCATATACTTTAGGTAAAAATTGTTAAACAATTGAGAACTTTTTAATGTATTTGCCAAAAATCAGGACAGACTCATCACCCCTGATTGAAAATTTCTATATCAAATGCTTTTATTTTTCACCAAAAAATTGAAAAAACTTTTGCATCCAGAGCAAACGATTGTCACTAGTAATTACATTCTCTATCCAAGTTAGCTAACAAAGGAAGCAGACAAAAAGCACCAGAACAAGGCCACACAATTGAATAACAAATACAAACTAAAGGCTTGTAAAATTCACACTGTAGTTCTTCTAAAGATTTTCTTTAAATAGTTATCTCATGTTTAGATAAATACTCTGATAAATTTATATCCACTGTGTTCAATGTACAAGTTAGCTGTCACATCAATCTCTATGTTTAACCATAAGTTAATATAATTCTCATCCTTTGTCAGTCAATTTGAAAAGTTTGCAGCCAAGGTTCTTGAACTCCTCTTCACTTCTGAAGCTGTTTTAGGCCTCTGTATTGCATCTTTGGTTGCAACATGCCCTTTCATTCTTGGCTGAGCACTTTCGGGCAGACTCAGTCGTTTCTTTGCCCTTGGTTGAACAGTGACTTTGGGTTGTTTTGTAATACTTCCAATACTTTGTCTTGCTGGTCTGTTTGGAGGTTGATGTCCACCCCCCAAGCTGGATCTGGATGATTTGACAGGTTTCCTGAACGTACGATCGGTTGTTTTGGGTCCGTAAAGAGAGTCATCATTTTGAAAGCTGGAATTACTGAATTAAATTGAATAGATAATGAGATGAAAATAAAAAAAAAGGATTCAGTTTTGTGTACCCTGACCAAAAGGATATCTAATCCAACTAACATGGACATTGTGATAAAATTAACTTACAGAGGTTTCTCTGGGGCTGTGGCTGGTCGGGAGTTTGGCTTCTTGGACCTATGAAAAACCAATTGAAAATAAACTTACATTTATATAATATTCACAAAAAGCAAATGAAACNACAAAATATCAACAAACACCGAAAAACACGCAAAAACCGGGAAGTGAAATGGCCATGGTAGCCGGCTCCGTTGTGGAGAGTAGCCGCTAGAGTTCGCCAGTTGCCGGCTTCTAATGAAATCCCTGCGTCTTGCTGGATGAGCGGTGAATCTACTTCAGAAATGGAAGAAAAATTTATTTGGACAAAACAGTCTATCAAGTGCTATGTTGCACTTGATTCTATTCTGAGAGAAGTAATCGTTCACAAACCAAATTGAACGCAAGGATGCCAGTATCAGTTTCAAGCTGGTTTTTAAAATCTGTAGCGAACTAACAGTTTCAGAAAAACCCTTTTACCACCTCAGTTTTTCCCAACTTCGAAACGGAAAAGAGGCAGGTAAGTTTATTCACTTCATTTTATTGTCATTCACACTTTCTTTGAATAAATATAAATAAATTCATTCTTCCTCACATCGCACAGTTGAGGCATCTAATGCGTACAACTGCTGTGAAAAACAGACGACTAATGCATTACTTTATCACACTTTGAGTATGCATCAAAAAATACAGAACCGATCTTTACAATGTAACACAAAAATATATTTAAAACAAACTTTTTTTCCCACTGAGCTTACCAAAAAAAGAAATCCAAAACTCAGTGAACTTAAAAAAGCAGAAACAACACTTACAACATGTGTCATTTTACAAAGTTTACAAAAACAAAAACCACGTATCGTATGTAACGCAATGTCGGGGTTACAATTAGGGCGCAAATAAATGTCATGCAACATGACTTGGTGTCACACAGCAAAGCAACACCTCGCAGAATCCAGTGATCAGGATGTTGTGACGTCTTCAGGTTCAAGCAGAAAATGTAGGTCAAATCTGTGCGTCTCGGCTTCTTGTAGACAGGGCACTCATAAAATTTCAGTGCCTCCATGGCTTTGTAGTCTCTTGGCAAGGTAGCAGTGTTCACTGCGTAAATATGCACCACAGGTAGGGCAGTAAACAAAACTTTGGGGGGAGGCTCCGTGAGCCTGCAGTTTCGTCGATCCCATCCTGCGCCATCCAAGAACAGACCATGTACATAGACTCCTTCAAGTGGCGATGACCCCACATCTTCTTTCATCATCTTGGTGACATCGTTGGCAAGTGCAACATTATCGAGTGCCCAGCCTTTGTGCGCACGCGTGATCTCTTGTCTCATTGCTGTCAGAAAACCCTGAATAAAAACAAAGTATTGGCTGTGAAAGAGCAATTTATCGTCCGTACAATGCACAGAACAAGGCGTTGAATAGTCTCATTCCTCCTCAGAATTAACTGACAATTTATATTTTCTCGTCTTCTAAAGTTTTTTTTACTTGGATTCGCAGGCCACATAATCTTTAAAACTTATACAGGCGAAGTTCGCCTCAAGTATTCCAGGTTAAGTGCACTTATTCCAGTGTTTCTCACAAGGAATTACCCAAGCCAACGCAGAGATGAGAAATAACATCTTCCAAAGTCATTTTGGTGAGTACCTGGTTTCCCGAAGCTGTTTTGCACAATTTCCTATAACACTTTTATACATGTGAGCTCTTGGCGAGCAAGCAAGCCAACGAACTAACATACAAACACCAAGCTTCATACCTGAGGGTTGAAGAATCCCGTCATCCAAAACACGTTAGGTCTGCCTTCGAACAACCACGAGTGGAACTGATTGTTACGCTCGATCAGCTCAGTAAACCAGAAGCCAAGAGTCGTCGAGTCCCACGAGATCTACAATAAAGAAAGAGTGATATTTAAACCCTTAAGGCAGAAAAATTGAATTCAGTGTAACTTTTCCTTAGATAACATTACCCTGCAAACGGGAAAGGAGATTAGGAAAACTCATTAGTCAGTTGATCTTGTCTACAACAACCCCAAATTAGGTTAATAAGCCACTTTTGTGATGTTTAATGCCTCTGCCTTAAACGAGGGCAAGTTCAAAGGCTTAAATGAGAAAATTATATTTTAATAAACGAACTCATTCTCACAATAGACTCTCTGCACCTAGACTCTTTCTGAAAGTGAATGTTTTGGAACAAAGGCTACCAGACTTAAAAATTCCAAAATTTCAAAATAGCACAAAACGAAATAAAACAGCTTAACATCATTCATCGATCAAATCAAACAAAGCTTTGAAGCAAAATGAAAAAAAAAAAGTACCTTTTTCCAAAGAGCAGGGACACGGGCATCATAGATGTTCTCTAAAGCGTCCTTCAAGTTTTCACTCATGATGATTGTACCATCTATGGCCAGTTTAAGGTCAACCAGTGTGTTCCTCACAGCTGTTATGACCCTCTGCATTCTGTCAATTTCTTGACGGAGGAAAATGTTCATGGATGTCAAAGCACCCATTTTCTGCAGGCGTGCTTTAACCTGTAGTAATTAAAGAGACTCCTTTTTATTTATGTATGTATTTAGCCTCGCCTAATTTCTTGGGCAGAGACCACTACAGCAAAGCCAATTACAGTGGATCCCTCACCAGAATCAAAGCCAGACCACAAAAAAAAAAAAAATTATAATAATAATAAT